AATCTCCTTAACGAGCTTTTGTTCCCCCCTCCCCGCATCTTTTTAACGATTTAGTCACAGACAATTACTCGTCACTGTTACTTATTGTTGGAAAGTAATGATTCGTTACTTTTTTCATTTCTTTTTCTTTTGTTTTAATAAATAAAATTTTAAATAAGTAAATTTTAAATAAGTAAATTAAATTTTAATATTAAATAAAATTTAATATTAAAACAAGATATTAAATTTTAAAGATACACACACACACACACACACACACACACACAGGACACATACACACATTAATTAATATTAAATGTAATAATTAAAACTATTTTTAAAACTCTAAGCAAGTTTCTATATAGTAGGAAGCTTCCGTTTATATCAAACTTATCTAATAAATCTTCTATAATTCTTTATGTTAATATTTTTACTTTAATATTTTTCTTTAGAACTTTAGATTCCCAAAGGTTGTAATTCATAAATTTTATTAAAAATTGAAATTAAACAATGTTTTTACACAAATAAATTATTGAACATTATCATCAACGATATTATTATATATAATGCATTTCAATATTTACTGCTAGTATAGTTGTATTTTGTGAAAATTTATAATTATATAAACATATACTATTTTCAGTATTGGCAGTGACTACCGAAATGCAGCTTAAGATGTTAAGTACAAAATATTTTTCAATACTTAAATTCCTACTTAAATAAAATATTTTTATTTAATCAAAAATAATGCGATTTATCGAATAGATATAAAGATAATAGAGAATATTAAAGTAATAAAAAAAGTAACAGAATCCGTGAAGCTGAATCCGTTACTGTAAGAATGTATTATAACAATTACCGTCTTTCACAGACAGAAAAAAAGTAACGATAATCGCGTTACAAGTAACGCATTATTTCCCAACTCTACATAGTATGTTTATTATTTTAGATTATTATTTTAATATTGATTATATTTACAAAATTACAAATGTTATTTTTTACTAATTATGCATTTTTATTGATCTGTAATGTCAATCACCGAACGATATAAGTAGTATTAAATGTATTAAAAATTATCATTCCTTCATTAAAAAAAAACCGTTTTGCAGCTTCATATATACATCTTAAAATTTTCAATAATTTATATAAAAACTAGAAACAAATTTCTACCTAGATAGGAGGTAAATTGGAGTTCATAGAGAATTCATTTTGAAGAAGACATACAGAATTAGAAAAATAAATATTTGAAGAATTCTTGAAGAATTAACCACAATTAATTTATCTTGAAGTATTCTTCAGAAATTCATTACAATGAATACTTCGCGATTTAGTACTTTGAATACTCTGAGAAATGAAGAATTGCAAGTACACGTAAGCATGCCAGACACAAGTTCTACTGAGCGAATACCAGAACAGATGTGTTTCGTCTCAGCTGGGGTGCAGCATCTTTAATTTTTATTAAGCTGTCAAGCTTTTTCATGTTGATTTCCTTATTTTTTGAAACCTATTATCTATTTTGGAACTAGTTTATGACCAGGCTGGCTGCGAGAGCTAATAACATGTTCATGCATACATGGAACATCTCAGGTAGCAAGCTACGTCATTTTGTCGTCAAATTTTTAACGTTATTTTCATGTCAGCTTGCTAGGGATACAACACGAACAAATTCTGAGATTTAGGCCTAATTTCACAACTCACAGTTAACTCTTAGCCGAGATTCAACTTATTTATTATCTCTTTCCAATTCTAGAATTGGAACTATATATATATATATATATTACATGTGCGTGCGTGCGTGTATGCGTGTGTGTATTTAAAACGCTTCGACTTTGAAGTGGAATATTTCGATTTTTAATTCCGCACCGAGTATTGAGTTTTAAAGCACATATGTTCGAGACTTTAAAATTTGTATATATGTTAACGTCATTAAAGCGCTTATTCCGCAAGTTTCAGAAAAATCTAAAGAAAATGGACTTTTTCGGAGAACGTCCTTAAGAAGTTTTCAGAAATTCGAAACATGATGCATGAAACTTTTTAAGGTATTCTTATTGTGTTCTCGTATAAATTCCTAAGGAATTACAATTCAGAAAACTTGAAGAATACTTTACGAATTTACTATCTGGGCTACAATTAAGTTGGATATTTAAACATCAATCTGATATTAATTTATATATTTGTGAATTATAAGACAAATTACAAGATAAATTTATTTGACTAAGAGTTTATATGATATGTGCAAAACAAAATATTTTTTTGTCAAATATCTTTTAACATTATGAAACATAATTTATTTACAGGGATATGCTACCACTAAATTGTCAAGGCACGACTAACAGTACAATTAGCAGTTCAGTGAGCAACGGCGGTAGTATCCAATCTTTGCAGAGTATCGATTCCGATAGTCCGAGTCTCGCAATGTCACCTCTATCAACTATGGGTATGTCACCAGTCACTATGAATCCATGCAGCCCGATGGGCATGAGTCCCATGGGTCCTCATCATGGCTATGCCACTCCTGTTACCCCATCGTCCGTTCATACCTCACATTCCCATAATGGCGGATTGAGTCCTATGAACGACGTTAAGGCTTTATATGGACGCAGTGTGTACGACACAGGTAAATTATTAAATATTCAGAGAATACTAAATGGGGAAATCTTGAACGCTTATATAAAAATTTATGTGTTTACATATTTTGAATTTAATTTTGCATAATATAATATCAACTTAAGATATTGAAAACTTAATTTCTTAATTCCTAATTTTTTACCTTCATCTAATCTACAGAGATATATAAAAAAAAGATAATTATATTTTATAATTTTGCATAATATCATTTGCAATTGATAATGTTAATATAATAACGAATTCCTGAATTTAAACTATCCTGTTTTTTATTTTTAGCATTCTAATTTTCAATATTTTTAATTCGTAAGGTAAAGATGTGGAGCAGAGCTCAGTTTATTACTCCAGCCATTCCAGTATGCACCACCAGTATTACCAACAGACTCATCATCAGATGATGTCCAGCTCTCATCATCATCACCATCATCAGCAGAGCGTACCAGCCGGCTACGAGATTATGCTGCCCCCGCCTTCCATGTGACTAACGGATTATGAGGACGACCGAAGTAATCAAAGTCTTCACGGTAACGACGACGTGGTAGCTCGTATACACGCCTTCGCCTGATCCTTCTGCTTCTTCTCTCGTCTCGATTTTAATCACACGCAATAAAGAACGACATTGATAAAATGGATATTGATAAAATTGTTGTTTTACAAAGGAGGAGGTACAATCGTTTTTAATTCCTTACCCTCAAAAAGTGTTTACTAAAAAGAAAATTGTTTTTACGCGTTTTATGTAAACGATCCCGGGAAAAAAATATTATATAAATGAACATATTTTATATATAATTATATATGGATTTGTATATGAAATATGTTTCATCAATTTTTTATATAATTATATTTAATTTTATATAATTATATATAATTATATATATGAAACATTTTTTTCTCGAGATAGTCTGATGCTACATTTAAAGGTGAATATCTTTTTCCATTGGAGAGTTTTAAGAAACGCTGATATTAAATCAATTTTTTAAAAGATGGTTTACACGGTGATTTTTTGAATAATCTTTTCAATCAATTTATATATATTTGCATGTACATTTTATACGTACATGTGATAAAACAAGAAACAATAAATAATTTATATTAAATATACCATGGTATGTAAAATGAGAGATCTGAAATTTTTATTAATTTTCATTAATACGATAATTTTGATCTATTAGTTATTAATAATTTTGTAATATTAACAATATAATAATTATACAATCATAGCTGTGAAATGAAATGTAAATCAATGTTTATATTATCTATCATCTTTCTCACTTTTAGTATCAGTTCTAATATATCTTTTTGAATAAAAATTACCGTGAAACCTATGTAATAAGACCATTTTATATGCAAATTTCTAAATGCAACTGAATGCTTATCACGAAGTCGTAGAACAAGTTAATGTGAAGACGAAAATATAAATATAAAAGATTTGACAGTGGAGTTGAAAAACTAGTTGTATCTCGCGCACTTTTCTTCAAAGTGTGCTCCAGTTTTTAGTACCGAAATTTTTCTTACGGAAATATCACTATTTGGTTTATTCATTATATTTGAACATTTCATATGGAAAAATTTACAAAATAATAAAATTAAAAATGAAATTAAAATATAAAATTAATTTTTTTGCTTATAAATCCAAAGACACAATTGTAAGAACTTTAATAAAGCTAATTGTTTTTAATATATTTTTTTCTTGCGTTAGTCGCAGATTAATGGCTTTCTCTCAATGCAAACTATATAATAATTAATCATAAAATATCAATGTCTAATTTCGAAGTTTTGCAGTTTCAGGGAATCGTTTTGATTTGTTTTAATATAATGTCCTATATTTCTTATAAGATATGCGAGTGAAAACCTGTAGTGAATGTAAGAAAAATACTTATTTTGTTAGATGTATGATATTTTTTAACGTCGTATACGATGTAATATTATGTGCTATTGTAAATTATTGCGATAAAAATCACAGAATTTGTTTATAATGAAGCTTCTGGCGAATTATGATGCATGGTAAAAAATGGGAAAAACAAAGCAATTATTAGCTTGTAGCGCAGCTGGGAAAAATTATGCTGACTATAGTTTTCTTTTTCCAGTTTTTAATTGTATATAGGTATTATATGAATTATGTATGTAATGTATATATTGCTAAAAATAACAATGTACTATGGATTACTGGGTTTTAAATAGACCTACGTTCATACATACATACGTGCATACACACATGTATATGCATACACGCACACACATGCACATTTAGACATAAATCGTACGAAACCGTACGCTGTTCTTCATACTTCCTACTTTATTTTATAAGAAATGCACACAAAAAGCTATATCATTATCAATTTACATATATACATAAGTATATTATAGATGCTTTATGTAAAATACATATTCCTCCAAACATTGCGCATTTTCTTTAAACCTCAATTTTTTTTTAAATCTGGGATAAGTTTTTTTCTAAATTACATTGCTTTAAATATTTTTGTATAACTGTTTTAATTTACAATGTCAAATAACACTTTAATAGATATTAAATGATTTTACGTTTTGTTCATATATATATTCTGTTAAATTAAATATAATATATATGAAAAATACGAGAGAATATATTAGAAATGTATTAACAGTCGAAATAGTAGGTATCTTCAATGAGTATGTTTGTACGTACAGTTGGCAGATTCGCAATCTGCTAGAAATGAAATTGGGAGAAATTGTAAGATAAATACAAAGGGCTTCTCCTAGATAACGCCAGAGAGCAATACCCATATAGTAAAAATAATTATTACAAAAATGTTGTTTTATTAAAGTATTTTCAATTCTTAAAAGAAAGATAAAGAGAGGAAAAAGATTTATATCAACCGAATATTATTAAAGATCTTAATATTATCTCGTCAATAATATTTTAATATCTTTTTTTTAATATAAAAAAATTTGCGATAAATTAGAAATGGATAAATAAACGAAATATATATTTGATAAGAAAGCCGTATTATATTTATTTTTATTAATGATACGGCGATGTACATAATTCTAATGGCGTTCGCCAAAGAAAAAAAGAAAAAAATTATGAAAGTCTCATATTTTGTATCGAATTTCCGATTACAACATCACATATCAACAATTTTATTTAATCTCGGTTTATTTAACATACAAGAGCTGCTTCTTAATATTGCGCGTCCAGTATGTATAGCTGTATAATGTACGTATGTGTTATAAGTCTAAGTTACATTGATATGATCACGTTACGGGGTATTTGTACAAAGAGCGCACAAGTACAACTACTCGATTTGTTCGTAACTGCATTCAAAAACCGGTCATAACGTTCGATTAAAAAAATTTATTCATTTCATTTATTCTCTATAATATAGCAATAATGATTTCTGATATTCTTTTGGATGTAATCACGAGAAAGCGCATGCGAATAGCACTTTATCATTTTCATCATTTTTCTTAATCGAAAAATCAAATATACGAAGTATCGATATATCTTATAATAATAAATATTCTCAATATTTGATCGCGTATTTGAAATATTTAATGCAAAAAATTAAGGAAATAAAATAATTGTTTTACAATTTTACAAAAATAAAATTGACATTAGACTTAAGAACGAACTGTATTTCTTCTCTGTCAAAATAATTAAAAATATTCGCATTTTTAAATAATTATTCTGTATATCTTTTTCAGGACGCCCTATACATTAAGCTTCGTTTTCTTTTATGCGAATAATTGGATAACTAGCGCGGGATATAAAATATGTTCCCATCGTACATTCCGTGACTTTAATGACTTAAGTTACAAATTTTCTATATAAATATGACGTGTTTCAGTTTTTATGAAGGATATTTCACCTTTGTTTTTCAACGATACAAATAACAATTTGGAATTTCAATTCGTTTAAATGACTGATTTTCTGTACCGGTGGAATCGATCGACGTCAAATGTAATATTTGTGTTCCTCGTAATTTCTCGCCGCAAACGACTGCAATTTGCCTCGTTTTTTGTCCAACAAGCTCGATAAAAACGCAAGCTACGTTTAATCCGCTCCTTCCCGGCGCGATTGATTAAATGGCGTCATTTACTTCCCCCAGAGGTTTAAAACTGAAAGTCAGAGATAAATCGAATACGTTGGACCGGTGGTGTCGCAACACTAGATCACATACTTTGTGGGCGCGTATACGTTATAAAATTTCTCGACAAAGTCATGAATCTTTTTCTTTTTTTTTTTTTGCAAAGCGCAGACAAATGTCCAATTCCCGTTTATCACAAATTTTATTGTATGCATTGTCCGCTTGGAATCATCGCCAAGAACCGACTGCGTGTGTGCTAAATTATTACTACTATTGTTATCATTAATTGTTATTGTTACTGTCGACGTTATTATTACTGTTAACATCCTGCGTACGATAACAATGAAAGAAATAATCCTTACAGGTATATACGCTATCCGGGTCTGTCTCATCGATATACTACGTACATATTGTCTCTGAAGTACATACACACGTGCGAAATACAGCCTGCAGTTTATATAGACAATAAACGTATGGTATACGCGCACGTGTTTACACGATTACAACGTGTATGTAGATATAAATAAGTTTAATATAGGCTATACGGTTATATATACGAGATATATAGGACAAGTCACATTGAAAAAATATATGTATGTGTTTTAATTAGGAAGAGAGGAAGAAGACGAGAGCTACGTGCGTTTGTGTAAGCACATGGATATGTATGGTTCATCAGCGGCGACGTGGGATCAGTTGTTCGAAACGTGCAAAAAAAAAACATCGTTCGAAGTAACTTTTCTTCTTCGATATAATTCTTGAATTTTAATTATATTTATTTCGTCTTCATATATCAGCCTGATTTTATTATTTATTATTTATATCCCTTTTCATCTCTTGAATTTGTTTCCTTATTTTCCGTCCGTCTTTTCTTATCTTTGTTGCCACAAGCATTCTATGCGCTTATCTTATCATCGATCACTGTTGTTGCCGCACATTCCACCGCAGCGTGAAATATATACGAACAGGAGAGGTGCGTCTATCTAAGCGTGCTGTTAGTTAGGATCCGAAAATAATTCGGGTTTATCATCCGAGAATTCGCAAGCCGCCGGAGAACGAACTTCCGGGCGTGTATGTACAAGCAACCGAGAAGTTACGGAACGTAATCGTGTATTATGTAACATTATCGCGATCCGCGCACACCGGGATACCTGTCGCTTGCATCGCGTCGAAGCACAAATCTTAAACTCGGTCGATCGTACCGCGATAGAGTTTCGAAGAAACCGAGAGCCCTCGCGTCAATTCAATTTCACCTTAATCTAAACTTTTACGATATATGTACACGTATTTCTTTCTCTCTTTGCGTGGTGCGGTCGCGGGGTGCGATAGCTTCACTCCTATGATAACTGAATCGGGAATTCTCGTCGGATATAAATATTACACGTTGTACTCGCGACGAGTATATATAAGAACAAGAATTTATATTAATAAAATAAAACGTATAATATATAGGAACAGTCTAATAACACAGTTGTTAACAGCTAATCTACGATTAAAGTCTATAAACTTGTTCTCACCACAGTAAGGCGGTTTAAATAAATCTTAGATAAATTAGGAATTAGTACCTGTAAAAACAAAAAAATATATTTTGAAGTAATACGCGACAAATGGAAAGGCATTGAATGAATTTTCAATATATAAGAATGTAAAAAAATATAAAATATATCTTTTTAGTTGATAATAAGAGATATCAATAATCGCTTCGAAAAATCATTGCGAACTTGAATATTCGCAAAAAAAATGAATACTTTTTACTTCGGTATAAACACTCATCAATATAATATGAGATAATAACGATGGTCCAGAGATCAAGGGAACTAATACTACGGTGTAGACCTCTCTTACGATTTTATGATTTTCTCTTTTATGATTTTTCATTTAAGTTAGAGTCCTACGATGGGTTAACATTAATACATTTACTCTTATATTAATTAATCGTAATTACGCTACGTTTTTAATTATATTATAATTTACAGTTTACGCAATGTGTCATATTAAGTTAAGGGATTCAAGAGGATTCGGCAATTGTAGTACGAGGTTGGTGCAAATTGGCGGTTCTCTCTTGCTTCTCCTTTCTCTTTCGTTCTTCCAAAGTTCAACAACACTCACTGCACCTTACAAATAATACTGAATCTACTCAAAGTATTTTCAGCCGCACCCAAAGAGAGACTTCCTTATGCAGTATCGTGCGCAATATTCCGCGACATTCTTTGCTTCTGAGTATTTGCTTTAACATCGAATTAGCGAGATGTTAATAGGAGCACATATATCTAGCAATGATTTTTTTCTTGTAAGATTATCGACGAGTTGCAAATTAGCTATAATTAACTCTTAAAGGAATCTTTTTCATTCAGAAAAACAATAGAGATTTAGTATATTGAATAGAATTTTTTAGTTTGAATTTAATAGAATTTTGACTCTTAATAAATTTTGTATAATTTTAGAAAAAATTTTTTTAGAAATTTTCAAAATTTGTTATACCATAATATGGAGAATATTTTGTGGTATTTTTTCTAAATAACTAATAATCTGAATGTACAAATAAAAGATTCGTTTAAGAGTTAGCGATGTCGCATAATCGCAATCGTCACGTAAGTTTCAAGAAATTTTGTCGGCGATCGTGTATAAAACAGTTAGCAAATCGAAAATTTATTTTTGCATATTGCTCGACGACAAACACGTGCTCTCTTTGGGAATCAATAACAGTCTTTTACAAAGGTACGATCTTCTCGTTCCGATGCACCGGGGTGTCATACACGGGCACGCACTTGTAATATTGAGGGGGATACGACGCATACGAGGCTTCCGAGGGTGATAAACGGCCGCGGAATCGGCTGCGCACGATGTGGATTATCAGTAGCAGACACAGCAGCGCGAGTACGACGATTAACGTAATCGGAACTGTGCCCCAGCCACGGCTGGTAATTTGATTAATCATGTCGTTTTCCTTAATCGGCTGAAACAAATGTGATAATGATAATTCTTAGATTACTTTCTTTCAATAGATATTAATGATCCATTTTTCACAATTCGAGCAAAACTCATGCGTTCTAAATAAATATTTCTAAGTAAATATTTCTAATATATAATAGATAAAGCAGTTATATTTAACATTAAAATGTATATAATGATAATATCGTATAACGTAGTATTAAGTGGATGGTTAAGGGAATGTAAAACTCACTGTAATCGGACATATGGGGCAACAAGTGCCTGGTTTCGGTGGCAACGGATTAGTGCAGGCCACCGAACAGATGGTTTCTTTGCAATTAAGTCGTCCACCAGGCTCGCAAGTGCATGTGTTGCAGCTGTTCGGGTACCAAGTCGATCCCTCCGGATGCGTCTCGTTCAAATGATCCATGCACGAAGCTCGACAGCGGCATATCTACGGAGGAGAAATATATCAGTACCGTTTATTGTCATACGATATTTCAAAATGTGCAGCTTTTTGTTCTTATACTCTTTGTATTTCAATTATTTTAATTTTAATTCACTCCTGATTCTGTTCTATTTTCATTTATTCCGCACGTAAAATAATACAAGGGAGTTATACTCACGGGACAGCCGCGTTTATTCGTCTTGAAACCGAAGCTACACCTCTTCCTGCATCCGAGAAGCGGCGGACAGCTGGATGGCTTGCACTCGCAGAAGGTGCAGTCGTTTTCATCCATAACAAGTTCACAGTGAAGGTCGCACTTGACCTCAGGACAGATTTTTTTATCGTTCGCGGTGTCCGGGGTGGTGACATTTGGCGAAGGATAACGCGATGGCGTCTGACAGGCGCACACAGGACAGCCGTCCTCATCCTTGACGAGATCGCAGTTCAGTCCACAGTGCGGCAGTTCCGGGCAAACTTTGTAATCTTCCGGTAGCACGTCCGGTACAAGGTCGACCTCCTGGAGAAGACGAGAGTCGTCAGTTTGCAAGATAGAAGCCGAGACAGCATTGCTGAGAGGAAACCGCCGGAATTCCTCTTATTCGCGAACTTCGCCTTGCGCGTGATGATTTCGAGAAGAAAGCTTCTTCAGCTGCAGGCACAGTTTGCAGGCTACGTTTTAGAGATAAGAGAAACTGTGTCTCTACCTTAGCTAGGTCACGACTGAAAATCCGCACGCGGCGGACGTTGTTGTGGATGGTTGCATTTAGCTAACGTTGATAGGAAACGTTTCGTGGTGAATGAGGAGATACTGTGTAAGAGATTACATTATCATCGCCAGCCAACCCAGAGCAGTTCTTGTTTCGTATCGTATTCTAGATTGCGTGGTTTTATGTTTGTATTGTAATATCTTGGATATTATATACACAGATATATCTACACATTATTAATTCGAAAAGTATATTTTTATATTTAGATTTATCAATTAAAAATGTAGATCAAATATAAAAACATATCATTTTAATAACATAACTCTTTATAGCTAACTGTTTTATATTTCTATGTGTTTTCTACTTTTATTATACATCTTCGACATTAAAAATAATATCTAACAGTTAAGACTACACCGTAAAAGTGCAGTCCGTAAAAGTACAAAATATTTTCGTTTAAAACATCTTTGCAAAACAAACGCTTAATAATAAAAGATATTTCAATTTTAACCGTTTTAATGTCTTAAATCCAAACACATAATGTTTTTGTTTACTAAAAATGTTTAAAAAACTAAAACATCTTTAAACGTTTAAAATCAGAGGCAAGAATAAAAAGTATTTTAAAACTAAATACTTCTTTTATGTGTGCACTTTTAGATCTCAAAATTATCTATAATTAATCCATATACTCTTACCAAATCATCGGCGCACTCGCAGATCGGACAGTTCTCCTTATCCGTTCGGAAGCCGTGATAACATTTCATCTTGCAGTCATCCAGGGACATCTTACAAGACTCGTCAGGATCAAAGGTGCTGTTCGTCGGCAATGGACAGTGAGGGCAACATTCGCCCGGATCAGGTGGTATCGCGTTCTCGCAGGACTTGCACATGGTCGTTTGGCAGGACGCGATTCCATCCTCGTTGCAGACGCAAGTAATGCAGTCGTTCTGTTTCCACTCTTCACCAAGTTTCCTCGAGACGCCTTCGTGAATGCAGTTTTGCGGTTTCTCTTCGGCTTTCGCCCAAGAAATCGGATCTAGAAAGGAAAAAACCAATAAAGTGGAAGTTAGATAAATTAGCATATATAAAATAACATCATATATATATATATATTTTTTTTTTATTTTTAACGATTAATCAGAGCACAATAGAAATAGCGGTAAAAAAATTTTGTTCGTGAAACACTAACGAAAATAAAAAATTATAATTTATGTGGATTTAATTTGCAAGTATAGTCCATTAAAGAAGAGCAAGTAAAAAATTTAGAAGATTTCTTATCGCAGTGTCACGTATGTTGAAGTATCACTTTTAAACATCGGATAAAAAAATATTTAAGGATATTTTTGATAGAACTATTAAGCAGTTCCAACATCATTCCCTCACACTGAGATTTTACGCTAAAAAATATAGGAAATATTTTCTAAAGACAGTTTATAAATAACTCAGCACCGCCGCCGGGAAGTGTCGCCAAATATAGTAGTTTGCGAACGAGGGAAACTTGAGGGACTGAGTGCCTCGGTGTTTCCGGAGTTTGCAAAGTCTTGCATAAAATTGTCGCGACGGATTTCTCGACGTGCACCGAGCATCGTTGCACATATCGTTGACGCGATCTCATTCGCTTCTCGAGTAAATCCAATCACGTTTTTAACAAATCCTTCAATCTTGGTGAGCAAATTTCTCTGAAACCCTACGAGGAATCGCTGCGTTATTAGCAAGGTAACTGGTTAATTATGCATATAAGATTACGAGCACGTATAATAGTCGACCGCGCGTTTACCACGTTTCTCTTCGACGATCAAGTCATTATTCGACGGTTTTCCAGTGGTGATAAGCGCTCGTCCGGTAATCATCAAAGCGCCGGAAATTGCAGAATCTCATAAAGATTTGCAATCTCGCTTAATATTCATAGCGCCCTTAACGCGCGCGCGCAAAATCGTCTTACGCCTGTCGTTGTCGTTAATAACTCGCGAAAATCTGATTATCAACAGCATTATTTCGTTACACGGACGATCGAGGAGGATCGTATCGCTGCCATTAAAGCTGTCGAGCGTTCTCGTGTAAAACGGCACGATTAAGCTTCCCGATGACTTCGCTATTCACGCGAGCGTCGTATTTCGCTTAGAGCGCTTTTATTTATGCGCGCTCTTCTCTTCTCCTCGCTCTCTTTACACAACCGAGTGCCTGTACGTGAAATTTACATGGCCAAGTACCGCTCGAACTGGATAGTAAACCCTTGGGTGCTGATCTTTTCTGCATGAGACAATTCTACACGATGGTTTTAAGTCGCCATGACGCCGGCACTGATAAGAGATGAACTTGTCGCGTCGAGAATAGCACGTGCATTATAAGTAAGCAAGTGCATTGTTCCATCTTGTAAAAAATTCAATTTTCTCGTGACGCAACACAATTGTAAGTACAAGTTGTATATATACTTTTGCGATCTCTCTCTCTCTCTCTCTCTCTCTCTCTCTCTCTCTCCGCCCACGTGTGTTATGTATCACCAATCGAGAAATTCTCGATTATTATCTTGATTATTATCTCACTGTATTAGGCGTCGATTTTAGCGCGTATTCATTTTCTGCATTATGGAAAGAAGCATGTGGGTCAAGCGATCGACCGTGGATGCGGGTGTATTATGTTCTACCCCCCAGCCGTCTCATTTACGAGCGTTCATTCATAACGCCTCCCAAACTTTAAAGTGGCGCATTTCCATGAAAAATCGGCTCAGTAACGTAAAGAGGCAAAAACAATTTTCGAGAGCCTCCGCTGACGCGAGTGAGCTCGTAACTCCCCATTATTTCCTTGTCGCGATATACGTACGGACATACGTTCGCGTTGAAAGGGGAAAAATTTGCACGAATTTTTTTCATCGAATACATCGCTCGCTAGCTGGCTGGTTGGTTGTCGGTGGTCCCTCGTGTAATACATCTCCTCTGTTTCACGTATAGCTCACACCGCTGGAAAAAGCTAAATTCCTGAGCTTTTGTAAGAATTATGAAAGAGAGAATGTTCCCTTTATACGCCCGGAAAACATTTTTTTTTATTCTATTCCATTATTCTGGATGTTTCATTACTCTTTGTAATCCGCACTGCGGCGAGAGGACGATATCGACGGCCAAAATTGAAGGTGATAATAGAAGAGCGCTTTTGTAGAAAATATTAAAGATATAATCTTTCTCAGCAAAGGAGAAACGGAAGGATCGAGAAGAGCGAAAAGAAAGATGTGTTAAATGAAGAGTTGTAAGATCTATACGCTGCGAAACGAATATCCAACTCAATACCGTAAATCTTTACGAAAAATTACACTTGAATTAATATTCCAGGCAAATTGAACGGAAGATAATTATGCGGGTAAAAAAACGTTTACGACGAATCAATTGCAAATATTGTTAACAGCTTCGATTAGGGCATTAAATCAGTTGCGAAGTAATTATTTTTGTAATTAACATAATAAAATGTAATTAACATGTATATATAACATACACTTTTGCCGCGAAAATCAGAGTGAGAGAACATCTATCTGTATAATTTAATCCGGTTGTACCGCTATTTACCTCAACGCGGTATCAGGGTTTACGTCAATATTTATTATCGCGTGTACTTTTCGACGAAAGCGTATTAATTAAACGAGGCATCAACTATGTACGCGTGACCGATAATGCGGACTATGGGCTAATGAATATTGTTAACAAGGTAGAACGTTGTTTAACTGTCGCGAAGCTGTTTAAACATCGTCCTGTGCAATACAGAACTGAAATGAATTTAGCGTATGATGTATTGTAAAATGGTATTTAATTGCCGAGAATCCGATCGATCGAAAGAGATGCGATATCCGAAACTAATTTAATTGATCGAAATACGTATATTTATATGTACATATTTAAGTAATCCATGTATTTCATTTTTTATTTCTTGACGCAATCGAATGTTTTAATTATTCCACTCGCAAAAGCTGCTTAAAACTCAGCATTTATTGAGTGTGATATATCGGTGGCGCATTGATCAGATCATTTTCAAATACGAAAATGGCAAAGTACATTGAAAGTATAATAATTGAGTGCAATAAATCGATATCATTCAGAGAACCAAGACGGAATAATCTCATGTCCGCAATAAAAGTGTTTCTAGTGTGACGATCTGTAGCTGACTGTACATGATCTGTGGTGATAATATTATTAAATCTTAAAACAGGCACGGAGTACTATTAAATTTTAACACAAAGAAATAGAGAGAGAGAGAGAGAGAGAGAGAGAGAGGGAGGGAGAGATTTCACGAGATAAGAATGACTTCATTAAAATTCAACAGGTAGATCGAAAGTTCCGTAGCAAGAACGGTGACAGTGTAACTTTAAACGTCGTAACTTAAAAACCACCGCTCGCTGAAATATCGCATTTGAGCATTATCTCCGCTTACAATCTGCGCGACTAGCATTTATAATGCCGATCGATTCTAGAATGAATTTCAGAAAATAATAGTAGAGTTGGTATTTTTAGAAGACTCCTCTTAATTAATCCTCGATTTTATAAAAACTACGCAAAAGTTTATGACTTTTCATGTTACACGTAGCATTTATAGTTGAAAAGCAGAATTTGTGTCATAGAGTTAAAAGATACACTTTGTCACCAAAGTTGTTAAAAACTTCTATAAGAACTCCTTGGTGAATTTCAAGCGACGAGAAAGAGAGATCTTCTTCATAGTAATAATCTCCTTCTCTTCTTGAATTTCATTACTCCCGTCACATATTTAACATACACATTACATCTTTCTCATCCTTTCCTCCTATCTTTCAGTAATGGAACGTCTCGTGTCCACAGGAAATGCGTTGATTACGATCGAGGAAGTTCTTCGTGCCGATATCTGAAGTACATTGAGGCTACAAGCTCAACAAACGAGCTTGCCTCGTCAGATTGCAATTCGAAGGGAGGAAGAGAGAGAGAGAGAGGGAGGGGGATGAAGCAGAGAGGGAGAAAGAGGGACGAAAAGAGAGAAAGAGAGGACATATTGAAGCGCAAGACCAGCGAGAGAGAAAGAGAAAGAGCCAGGAGAGAGGAAAGCACAGATTCCTGAGATATCGATCCGATGTACGGCGTATCCCGCGCGCTGTCCCCGTCATCTGACAGAAGCCAGCTTCGATTACGACCTTTCGTAATTACCTGAGGGTCTGCAGTCATGAAGGGGGCAACAGCTACCGGGTGTCTCGGGCTTGGCCGCCCGCACTTCGACCGGCCGTTGACCAGATCGGCACTTGGGTGGCGGACACGTCGGGACGCACTTGCAGATGCCGTCCGTCAGGACGCTATCCTCAGGACAGATCGACTCGGTTCGACGATGGTGATCTGCAAAACCGGTGTGAATCAACACCACAAATTTGTGTTACGGACTCGTTAAATGAGAAAGACGTATAATATTCTATTTCTATACTTATCGCATTAATTATTGTGTATAACAATTATATTAGGTGTTGGAATTAATTCGTAGCGTTTTACAAGTGATGGGAAGTACTTTCATTAATGTATTTTTTAATGCTCATGTGAAATAAATAACATTCTTTCATTAAAAAACGCTACGAATTAATTCCAACACCTAATATAATATATTATATAATTACGTAATATATTAATATAAACGGTATTTATATTTCCTAACCATCGGTATTAAAGAGAAATGTATTTTTAATCTTATGAGCGATAAACAGAACGTTGTGGGCGATGAGACTGGATATTTTATATACTTTCAAGATTTTATTTAGCTTCAGTAAATGCTATACGTGTTTGTTTATATAAAGTGCACAGAGAGTTTCATCTTGGTTTGTCTACAGTCAACATTATCATCGACCTGACGTTTTTCAAACGGGCCGATTTAATCAAAGAAAAAGCGCGATATTTACCACCACCACCGTCGTATCATTTTCTTGGTTCCGCAATAGTTCCGATCTTACCGCGCGCACGGCCGTTGGTTACACTCGGCAAACATTATTTTCCACCGCGAACACGGCTCCTTTTATGGATTCTATTACCTGGGGGAACGCAGTTGTGGCGCGGGCAGCAGTTACCGGGGATGCCGGAAAATGACCCCCTCACCAGCACCGCCTGCTGACCCGGTCGGCACTTGTGGGGTGGACAATCCGCACATTTGCAACCAGCGCCGTTCTCGTTCGGCACGCTGTCCTGCGGGCAGTCGTCGACACTGTTCACGGCTCCTTGAAACAGAAAAATTGTCACTGAGATTAACGTCAGGACCAGAATTCCCGGGGATGGTCGGCGATATGTCCGACGAAGAACGGCACCGTTAAAGCGCCTCTCCGTCCCGAAAGATATCTCCGTATATCTCCGTCCCGAGGTGTTGGATACCTTGGGATTCTTCTCCAAACGCTTGAACGTGCACCAGGGCTATTCGGTGTACTTTATTATCAATGGTACTTTGCACCAATTTGCTGTCGTACAGAGTACCCGAGAATTACGACCGTTACTTTTGTATATTCCTCAACCGATTTAGAGAAAATTTATCGTTGGCAGATATGTTAAGGTTCAAATATACCATCCGAGTCCCGGGCTATAATTCTAAGACATTCTACATGAAAAGATAATTTTAATAATTTTAATTCTTTTTTTTTTTTCTTAATTTTATGGCATATAATATATTCATCGAATAAGATAGGGAGTTCCAAGAAAATATGTATATTATTACCAGGAACTTGTTCGCAGATGATATCTATTCGGTTTTTATATATTCATTATTCAGTTCATTAATTAAGTTTCAAACTAAGCGATAACGACTCGTTTCTCTTTCGTTCAAAATAATATAATGGCGATAGTAATTTCCTGAAAATAAATTTTGCGCGCTGCCTTTTCCAGCCTGTCGCGAATAAATCTTTTTAACTCCTTCCCATTAATAATCTAACAGCAAACGCTCTGTAATTTTGTTGATATATGTGACAGGCAAACGTGTGCGCATCTTCTCGTGAAAAAGATGTCGGTTCTTCTATGTGGACCGCCGTGCACCGTGTCACAAGTTATACGATGTGTACCAGTGACATTAATATAAATTCCCAAATGAGTAAGGAAAAGAGATATATCCTTGTCAGAGACACGGCGAGAATCGATTATTTTATTCAGCGGATTATCCCGACCGAAGATAAACACGTATTGTCCCATGTGTTCGCGGAAGTTCCGTCGTGCTGGAGATACGGAAAGAGAAAAATAGCGAGCTTGATGGATGCCAAATCGAAAATCTCGGAGGTATGCGATGCGCTGAGGTATAAAGAGAATGATAAGCGGAATAAGAAGATAGCGCAAATCCACTTTTGTCGGCGCACCGGTAAATTCCATTTCTGACAGTTTTATACACGGAAGCGAATTATTTTCTAAACGATTCATTTATAATCGCCGCGTCGCGTCTCTATATTTGTTTCTATATCGGGATAAACATGATATTCTTGTATCATGAGAATAAACACTCGAGCGAAGTAGAAGTTTCGAAGACATCGTAAAGAGAGACGTTTGAAGTTAGATATTCAGAGACATCGTATTTAATTACGAGATGACTATATATTCTCGGAACTCTATCACACTACGCAAATGTTCATAACGTGAATCATCGCTGTCTCATACATACTAAATGTGTTTGTTTGCATATAGAGATAATTTCTTGCAGATTACATTCGTATGGTCCCAAGTTGATCTTGAAAGTTCAGCGAATTGTGTTGTTAGTGAAATGGTTACAATTGGAATTCACACATCGTCATTCATATTGGAAAAAATTATTAAATCTTAATACATATTTCTTTGAATAATACTAAGGAAACATTTGCTTATAGTAAATAAATATTAATTTACTCAATAAAAAAAATGATAGTCAAATTAAGTGTTCTAGCGCCAAATAAATACATGTCTACATTTTGTAAATATGTATTTAGAAATATTCAAACAAATATTTATACTATTTTTTCAGTGCATAATTTTTCAAGTAATTGTATTTTTATTATGTAATTTGTTGTCACTGTTGTCGCGTTACAAAAGAATTTTAAAATTAATCTAAAAATTTTCACATCATACATCGCTGAAATGTAAATGTGCAATATAAGAGTTTATTGTTGATTCTATTATAAGATATCGTAAATAACATTCCGAGAAGAATATTGAAGAACATTGTAAGTATGCGTAACTGCGGGCGACATCGGAGTCTCTTACAGTTACGTGATATCACAACGAAAAACCGCAGATGTGAAAGAAATACGTCGGAGAGAAAAGAAAAAGTTTAAACTTGTCCTTTGTATAAATTCGGAAAAGCAGAGTTCGTACATGTACAGGGCGAAGACATTTCTTTGCTATAGCTGTTAAGGAAAGTGAGATACGTAGATATTCTAGATACGTAGACATCTAACGCGTGAAACTGCAAGGAAGAATCTTGCGAGACAAACGCAGACCTTCGATAGAAATCCAAAATTCAGTTACACAAAATATAATAAAAAAAAGTCGTCTTCTAAAATACTTTTATAGAGAAGAAGGCCGAAGAAGATGAAAATAATCGCAATGTAAAGAATGAAAAGGAATTGCTTTCACAATTAAAAGTTTCCCTTCTGAAATTTGAGAAAGCTGATTCTCTCAAAACTTCGTTTACGTATCTTAATGGACCTTAATTCTACCCATGAAAGTTTTATGTCGAACGTCTCGCTCATTTTTGGGTGATCTAAAATATACATCACAGAGTATACGAAGATAGTACTTTAATACTACTTTCACCTTTATAAGAACCGCCATTTCAACGACATTCGTTATTATCAAAGTGGTCCTTACTAACATTCATTACACACATGCCAGAAGTCTCGTCGAAATCGGTTGATTGCGGTTGATCCGTTGAATGAGTCTGCACTTCCTCTGGAACGAGCAATCCGCTATACCTATATACTCAGCGAGAGGAGAGATCGATGACTTAACCGCGAGAACGCCGTGTGCATGATGTATTCGTAGTGCATTTCGTGTCACGACCAGTCTGTCGTCCGTTCGTTCTTTGCGTTTCGGCCGCTGACATGACAGAAACGAGAAGATACGATCTTCTCCTTCTCGATGCCGGTTGCACGCAGCCTCTTTGTGTTCGGCTTTCGCAATTTCGCGCCGGAGATTTCGGGGTCGGATAAGTCCCGTCCTCGTTACTGCCGCCGGCGAGAAACGGCGAAGAAGAAACGAATAAAATGCGCCTTTCGGTTTTCGACGGCTTTCGGCTTTCGGCTTTCGGCGTGACTGAAATATACGTCGGTCAAAGGTTAGTAACGCCACGGTAAGTCGTTTAACCGAAAGGGCTACGGAGGCCTCTTTCTCTTTCTCTCATAGACCTTCACAGTTCGCGAAAATCTCCTTAATATCCTTTTCGGATCAAAGAACGATATCCGTTAGATTTTATTGTGTCTATTTGAAATCACGGTTTAACGCTCAAAAGTTCAGTTGCTTTAAAATCTTTTTGAGAAAAGCATATTTTAGATTTTATATTTATCTGTTTTTTTTTTCATTCTTTTACATATTTTGCTATCACATTGTTTCTGAATTTCAATCAGATTGAAAACTATCACAATTATTATAATAAACTTTCGTTATCAAGAATTTTTAACATTCATATGAATAAAGTTCATGTATTTGAAGAGCAAATTTTCCCATAAAAGAAAATATAAAAGCTTATGATCAAATTTGATTAAAGCTATTTGATTAATGTTTTTTCTCTCTTAAAAGATATACTTTATTTGCAATACTGATCATACAATAAGATCTTCTAATAAAAAAGATCATACAGCTAATCTATTATTAAATCTTTCAGTAAATATTATAAGTAATACAAATATTAATCTAACTTAAATTTCATATTTTTTCATAATTTATAGTGTATAATGTAAGCTACGAGAAGACTTGTATTATCATAAGAATGGATCATGGATCAAGATTTGCTAAAATATCAAGTTTAATTAAAGGTTCCATAAGATTCCATAAGGTTTAATACAAAAAATTGTAGTTTATACTCCTCGATCGAGATCGGCTCATAAACTTTCGGAAAATGTAGACGAATTTCGGATGTCCGTAAAAATGAACTCGTTTTTCAAGGGCAATTCGAAAGGATGGGAGTCACGTGATAGGATAAGTGCTCTTTCCTCTCTGTCCTTACATCCCTCCATGGTTCCCCTATTTTTTTTCAAGGATCCTTGCCCACGGGATCGATCGACTTATCTGTACCCTTCCATACTTTAAGCGTTCGTCCTTTAGCAGATAGTCCGCCTTGGGCACGCATAAATCCCTAAAGATATCAGAGATGGCTAGACTGAGAAGTAACCAGCGAAATTAACTTTAAAGGGTAAAAGATAAGGCGTGGAAGAAAGGATAGGCGAAAATTAGCTTTCGTTTCAGAGAGACGGTTTTGGGAAACGAAGTAATATCCACGCGGTAGAATCGCGATTCGCGCTGCGATACGATCGATGCGCCAGCTGATTTATTTCAGCGAGACGGTACGATATACCTCGTGAAACGATGATGGTGAATGAGGAGAGGAAAGTGGGTAATTTCCTGCGAAAAATAACATCGTGCGGTGCCCACGAAATGGGCAGGCGCTATGAGGAGGAAGTCCTGATTGCTGCCCCCCCGTTGCTCCTTCGACAGTGACGAATGACTGACGAAGGTTCGTTTTGTATTAATAATCGCGCGCTCACACTTTGGACACAATCTTCCTCCAGGAAGCACATTCTCAATTGAGTATTATACGTTATCGTTGTGTATTATCGAGCGTGCACGAAATAAACGAAAGTTCACTTGAAAAGGAAAAGATGAATTATGATAACGAAAATTGCATACTTTCTTTGATCAATATCCCTGAGTCACGTTTTAATGAAAAAAAATATTGTACAACGAAGTATTTTATTATTGTCAATTATGTACATAGTTTCCAAAGAGACAACATAATATTCGATTAGACGTATACAAATAAAATTTAGCACAATTGATGATGTGACCAAACTGAAGGATTGCTACATAATCTATGTTTTCCATATAATCTATGTTACGTTGGTGCACGCGCTGTTACACGAAAAACATGGAAAGAAATACCATTCGTTGTAGAATAATTACATCGTCGGAAACAATACCAATGGAAAATATAGGGCTCGATTTCATTGGACGGTCTACTATTTGGCAAAATCGCGTGACCGGTATGCAATGGGTGGCT